TATGTTATAACAAATCACAAAATTCATAATCAACAGCTTACCACTGTGAGCTGTGTCTATGTTCAATAAAAACAAGTCCAGTGATGCTATCACTGAGATCTGAGGGAATGGTCCCAAGGGTCTAAAACAGAAGACAAATATGAAGCCAGTAATTGGATTTTGTCTCATAAACAAAACCAAATTAATGATAGATGACTTTGATAAACCGGCAAACAAACTTACAAAATATAAAACAAAACTTTTGTTGGTTACCTTCGGAATTGTGAAGAGAAGTTCTCCAGCAAGATCAAAAACTGCTATGTCCCTAGAGCTGTACAAAAAAATCAATTTTTAATTGCTAGCTTAAGTCAATTGAATAGAACAAAATGTATGTCTAGGTTTAAAATTCTCAAACTAGTATGATTTTGATTGTTCCTTGTTTGTTTTTTTTTGCCTAATTTATTTTTCCTTCTCTGGCTTCTTTTTACTGCCCCATCATCATAATCTTACAAAGAAGGTGCTAAAGATCACCCTGGTTTTAAAAATGTTACACTGAGGAAAATTTTTGATCTATAACAAATGCACCAAGAGGCTTACAGAAGGGAGGGTGATATACTTGTTGCAAGAAGAATTCATATATAGGTATGGGTTTTCCAGACTGTAGAATGGTCTAAATGTGGAAAGTTTCAATGGAAACTGTGGTGCTGGGTCAGTAGGAGGATAATTATGAGACAACTTGGTTTTAGTAAATTGGTTTTAGAATGGTCTGGTTTGTACTGGGAATTTTAATTTTCCACTTAAACAAAGTGTCTAATAGTAGGACTGAAAGAACAAGTTAGGCTAGAAAGGAGAACTCTGTAAACACAGGGATATAGAAACAACAATTATAAGTTCCTTAACAGAAAAGAAACTGTTCTCTCTCACACACACATGGAATTACTGTGTTGGAAACATAAAGACCATAAAACTGGTAACAGAAATTAGTCATAGTTTCTTTGTTTGTATCTAAAAATCTTAAGAAAGTAAAGAGAGGTGTTAGCACATTTATTTATTATTGTTTCCCAGGAGGTGGGAAAGGGTGCATCATAGACTAGTATGTGGATGATTATTGTCATAGGAAAAAGTTCTCAGGAGAAAAAATTTTTATCCACCTGTATGATAAAGCTAACATAGAACAATCTTGACTCCAAGCCAGCTTTCTCCATTGTGGACAGTTGTCTTCTTCAACTGAAAAAATGAAATTAAAACATTTAGTGCACAGTTGGCCACAGCCAAGATGAGGCAAAGCAGTTTTATACCCTAGTTGCAGCAATCAGCAAAAATCCCCAGATGGCTCCCTGCAGCACTTAAGGTGTCTCATAAATCAGCAAAAAAATATCCCCCATATTTGAATTGCTGGCTATTGGAATTTTATTTTTCAGTACTCACCTACAGCTGTATAATTATTACAACAAATTTAACAAACTATATTGATGATTAGAGAAAGCAACACAACATAGGTCCCATAAAACTTTCCATGTAATTGTAGTGAAACTTCAGCAAAAATATTCATATTAGGGATGGTAAATGAATGAGAAAGAGAAAAAACTGGTAAGGAGTTGTAGCAAGTTACTTGCAGCAACTTACATCCACAGCTTCTGAATGAAAGGTTGGCAAATGGTATACCTACCTGTACATTTTGCAATAACTGATTCAAAGTTGTCTACAAATGACCTGTGTATGAAAATGTTCATAGTAAGTGATTAAATAGTTGCCCTCCATTAACCTTTTACTCCAAAGATCTCATTAGTGATTCTCCTCACTGTTTGCCGTACAATTCTTGTGATATTATAGCAGAGAATTTGGTATTGGATCAACTAATAAGCCCCTAACTGATATTTTTCTCTATTCTCTATTCTTGATTGCTTGATGTTATATTGATATTGTAAGGAGAACTTCTCTCTTGGTCACTCATGATGAATTAAAGGGTTAAAAGCCATTAATTGAAGTCAAAAATTAAAGATACTTTGAAGTCTCATTTACATGGAGCCAATTGTATAAATATTAATTGACCTGATTCATCTCAGTTACTTAGTGTTTGTACTAGCAATCTTTTGTCACTCAAATTGTAAACCTAAAAACTAGGTAACCTTGGAAAATAGACAAAAGTTACCTAATCTCAATGCAACTTTCTTGAAGTACTGCAAGGAGCTTTCCATCACTAAATAAAATACAATTAAGAAAATTATACATGCAAAATTATTTAGGGTTGTACTTAATTTTGACTAAGAGCTAAAAGTTCTCTTTGAATTCAAGTCTTAACTTTTCAACTCCCAAGATCTGGTTGTTAATTCTCCCATCTAGCTGATAGTCATTTCTTGTAACTTAGTTACAAAATTTGGTATTAGATTAATATAATAACTTCTTCCTGATAAGTTTTATTATTGTTATCACTTGTTTGCAAAACAACAACTACAGCTAAAATTAACAGTTTCCAGAAAAGAATTGACCAAATAAATTTATTTGCAATATAGAAGATTATTAAATTATTAAGAGCATGTTCACTTAATGAAAAAATATATAGTTTACCTGGAGAGGGCAAACTGCCAGCCAAGTGAATTGTTTACAATTTTGTACAGCTGTGTTGGAAGGCCAAATATCTGATTACTCCCACTGAAATTGAATACAGTGTTGACATACCTGCTCAACTGTTGTAGTCTATAATGGTTTTTTACTAAATTATTAGTTCCTAGTTGATTATGCGTTTAAGTTTTGCAAAATATTTTGGAAAGATTTTTTAAGTATGGACTTGTAATTTTTTAGTAAGAGCTATCTTTTAAATCAATGCATTATTCTGTATCAAATAAAACACATTGTTATCCAAATGCACAAAGTAGAGTACAGATAACATGTGAAAAGAGTACAAATATCCTGTAATATTGTATGGTTATTTGGACAGTCGGTTATTTAATACTGTAGAAAACTGTCCTGTTTAATCAGTTTGTTAAGTATTTTGATGTAACCCTATGGGCTCATCGAAATACGGCACAACTTGTAAACAAACTCAGCAGTACTACACATCGAAACATCTAATAAGATATATGTATTCATTACCTAACAGTGTACTGAATGCCTCTCACCAACCACCAAAAGGAATCTAGAGTAAAGTAGAAAAGATAATCACCATTTCAACTTGTCCTATACTCCAAAGGTGCAAGTAATTCATGCAACAAATTAGGTTAATATCATGAAGGTGTACCTAAATCATTCTTCTAAACTTCCAAATGAAATTGAAAAACTGAAGAAAAAGAAAAGAAAAACTCCTTATCTGCCAACTAACTGCTAAGTATTTCCTGTCATGCGTTTCCTGTTAGCTACTGTTCTTTATGAATGGTTACTAAAAAAACTCTGAACAACATCGCAATGACCCTGGCAGGGGCTTCTCTTAACAAGCCAGCCATCAGGCTACAGAATCTTCATTATAGTATCTGGGTAACTGTCTTAATTATGAGTATCTTCGGGTAATAGTCATGTGAGGTGAAACATCAATTATCAATAAGCACACTATTCACTATGCTGCTCATGTATGATTCTCTGACACAAAATACTGTGACAGTTATATATTGCCTAACTCATACAAAATAATTGGTAAAACATTCATACTTTGTGCAACTGTCAAAAACTTCTTTGGCAGTGATCCTCTCAACTGACCAATATCAAACCCAGTCTTGTTCTGAAAGAAAAATTGAAAAGTTATAACCCTCTTATACTTTATTGACTGGATCATCTAAGTTTTAACCATTAATTTTTCTCAAGACATAATGAGTTCAAGATTTCTAGGGTAGACCTACTATTCAAGTCTACTGCAAGTAAATGGTATCCAGGTTTAAAGACAAAAAGATTCCAGAGTGGTTTATGGGTATTTTCCAAATGTTTTGTTATCAAACTGTAACAAATGATCTGATAAGCTGGGTTATTGTACAGTTGACTTTATATGAAAAATCTGATTGGTTGAGAGTATTCAATCATTATAAAATACTGTGTGAAGTTCACATGAAGACCCAATTTGAATATCTGCTGCAGATAATGTATATATCATGTTGACTTCATGGTCTGCCTAGTTTCCAAGCCTCTTATCCATGTAGTGTTCTCATTCTCTGGCAAACTCAGAGATAAGAGTCTTCTTTTGCAGATTGTTTAAAAAATGTATAATAAAATAATTAACAAATAATTTCTGAATTCCATTTTGGCATGGTTTCATGAATTATCAAACTTCATGTCTGAGTTATCTGCCTCAGCCTTTCTGGCCTTCAGCAGATAACTCCAGACCTTGGTTCTGATAATTTATGATATCATAGCAGAAGTCAACAATATATTGTGCATGCAACGCTTTTCCCAGCTACATGGAAAGCAAGTAAATATTATCAGAAGACAGGAACTCATCTGTCCAGGGTTGCAGTTCTTTCTTTCAGTTTTACAGCTGTTATGTGCCATGCTGCGAGTCTAGATCGCATTTTGAGCTTTAACAAGAAAATCAATGTGGCAAAAAGCCACTAAATTCGGATCTGACACCAGTTATGCTAGTTAATAAATATTAATGTGGAGAACTATAACACAGCTGAAGATGTGACCACATTCCAAGACAGCAACCAAGATAATTATTTATTTTGACTTCATTTAATTCAATTCATCATCAGAAATGAATCGAAACAGAAACTTGGCCACATAGTTTTCCATCGAACTCATGGAAAGAAGCCTACAAATAAGAGAGAATTTGGATGTATAATATCTACCTTGAAATTCTTGAGTACATCAAATTAAAAGTCTATAACCTCGAGAGCGTAAGCAAGCTGGCTACGATGCCACGTAATAAGTTGACCTCGCCACTACGCAAGCACGAAAGCAAGTCTTTCAAAACAGATACAAAAAAATTCTAGACATTCCCAAGCACTAAAAAAATTAAAACTAACCAAAATTTCTCCTCCAAGGGACCACTCTGCGTGAATGAAGTAATCGTACAAAATATTGCCATCTGTGACCCCGGCAGCCATGTTTAATATGATTTCTCCGCTAGGAGCATGGTAACTAAATCTTAATTGGCTATAGTAAGTCACGTGAGATGCTGCTACAAAAAAAACCGCCATCTTTGAAAATACTACAGTGTTTGAGTGACCTACGGTAGGAAGTGAATTATACTTCAAGCGAATTTGAAATAATCTCTGATACTGCCTTGTATAAAGCTGCTGCATTATTTAACGGTGAAGCTATCAATGGCAACAGAAGCAGTTTTGAGGCCGCATGTCGATCAAGAAAATCCGAACCCCTTGAACTTCAAAGGGGGAAATGCGTCAGGTATAACTTCAGCAACTCCTTTGTCTAAAATTTTAATGTCTTAAGTTTGATCTCCAGTGGTATGTGAAAAATCATTGGGAAGAACATTTAATAGAAAAATTTTTTGTTTAAAAGTACAAGTTACCGATAATAAAACGAAAATCAAGCTCGAGTGGAAATGCTTACAGACTTTCTCGCCTTTACTCAGATTATATAGTTTACTCACTGTAGCTACTTTAATCCTTTACGACCTACCATCAGTATGCATATCCTCCATACTATTCTCTCTAAATCTTCTTAGGGGCTGATAAGGAGAATTTCTTTAACGATCAAAAGCAGTTCCTTTGTTAGTAATAATTTATTTTATTCTTTTGAACTTAGTGAGTGATTCAGGAGTGGTATTGTGAGGACAAATGAAATGCTAGTCACTCTTAGAGGTTGTTTTTCATATAAGTAACAGTACCCCCAGTTAACTATTGATAGATTTATGGGAAGGACCAGTCTGTTACTGTCATGCATTTAGATTGGGACAATGGAATAACATATAATAATTTTGCAATTACTTTATTACACAGGGAGAAAATTTGGAGCTGCAAAATCCTTTAAGTCCAGCAATGTTCCCTTAACCACTCCAAGACGTGCTCTGGGAGATGTAGGGAACACTCTAAAACCAGCTGCTTCAAATTCAAGAAAAGGACTTGCTTTGAAACCAAACAAGCTGATTGGAAAGACGCCAACAACAACAAAGATTTTTCAAGATCATACCCGAACACCATCGACCAAAGGAAAACCACTCTTGCAACAAATTAGCTCTGCTGGTATAAAACAAAGTAGCAAACAGAAAACTGCAACTCAAACAAAGACAGCAATGAAATCAAGAACAAAAGAGGATCAAGACTCGACTGAACGAGAAGTGATGTATCCATTTACTGACACAGGTACAGGAGTATGTTCTATTACCATACCTCCTTAAAAAGGAGGGGTGCTTACCACTTAGTATCTTTTCCTTGCAAGGTACTGCAACTTTATTTTTGCTAAATTTAAAAGAAACAAAAACTAAATGTACAACATCCACATAGATTTAAAGTCAATGTGGAGATAGAAATGACCGTCTATATTTGAAGTTTAAAAAGTTAGAAACAAATTAGCAATATGGGTCATCCAAGGAAGTACACTTTTCTCACATGGTCTTTCAAAAACAGCCTACCAAGAAGATGAATGCTTGAGTGTTATCATATGATCAGTACCATGTAAAAAAATCGTCTGGAAATCTGTTGACAAAGTTTGTGTTTGCTAAATTATACATTACACTAAATTGTGAATGTGCCTTGTACTGAACTTCAATTTAACCTTCCATGAAACTAAAAATGTAAAATACTGGCCCTATTGTAACAACCAGATCCAGTTTTGAACTTCGGTTTTTGTAATTGTTTAATTCAATATTTCTCCTTGGTGAACCTCATTCAACAAAACCAAATAACAGCAAAACAAAATAAGATAACTTAACATGAAAAAAGATAGAAAAAACTTTTATATTGTATTTGCAATTACTTTTTACATGTGACATTGTTTCTTAAACCCATAGTACCCATAGTGTTATTTTTTCAATTATTTTATTTTGTTTTTATTGTAATTTAATATACTACTTGTACCATTGTAGTCGTCTTAGTGTAGCTATGTGGAATTGTTTTGTGCCATGAATTCTGTATATTTTCTCTCTTTATTATTATAAATTTTAGAACCTTAATTTAATATGCGTCAATTTTTTAGAAATAGAAAACCCTTAAATACTAACAATAAAAAAAATGGTACATAAAACATACATTATCATTTCTCATTCCCATTAGATGGTGTCCTTCTAAGGTCAAACTATATTTCAACAATTTTGAAGAATGTTGGAGCTCTTTATTATGGCTGTCAGTTTCAACCCACTTATTCCACTGATTGTGATGCTGAAGACAACGCAGCAGATTTTTTTCACTTTGATGATTACAAAAGACCAACAACAGGTACCAAAGACTTTTTTTGTATTGTATTTTTGTTATTTGCTAGAACACTCAGATAACCTTACTCTGTGAGAGCTTGTGTCACTCCATCTGTTACTATTATGATTTTGGCTTTTCAAGGTTTCTCTACATTGAAGTCTGATAATTGAGAGCTTTAAAAAAATCATCAGCACTAAAAGACTCCTCAGATTAAGTGGTATCATCTGAAAACTTTAAAAAGCACCTTGATGACAGCATCTGAGTTCAAACTTAGTTACAGAAAAATTATAAAATTTGATTTGAGGATGTTCTTGATGTTACCCTTAGAGCTTGCTTGCTTAGCTATAGA